TCTGTTTCCTTTGTGTTCAGGTTCCTATCTAATCTATATCATATCCTTTTTACTATTGTTTGTGACTTATGGAACGTACCAATCAATACTGTACAAGCCATGCTACGATCATTTAGCAAGTTCACTGTTTACTCTTTGTTGTACCTCATCATCCTTGCAAACCGGTCTAAGATCTTTCTTTATACAAAAAAATAAGCCTGCATGCCCGTTCCATCCGGCTATAGTTCTTTCTGTGATGATCCACTGCATGTTAGTGACGATATTTATCATGTCAAATATCTCTGAATCTTAAAATTTAAATATTAATTTGATTAATATGCATGTCAGTTGTTTTAAAATTAAAAACAATATAGGTGCTATACTTTGATATTTTATATGTAAATGTTAATATGATTAATTGTAAACATAAATGTGTTTTTTTACTATAATTTACTTAGCCCAAGCACGTATCACATATAGTTCGAATAGTTGTTCTCACGTGTGGTTCTCACGTGTTCTTTTATCTTTGCAAAGTTAAAGTTTAACTTGCTTAACTTATGCGGCAACACTCATAAATAAAATATGACTAGTTCAACTAGGTTTTTAAGTAAATTATAATTTGGCTAATCTGAACTAATATTTTTCACATGGTTTTGATCAATTAAAATAAATCAAGTTTGTAGTTGTTTCTTTTAATGATAGTTCCGTTCTCGACATTTCTTGTGATCTCGTGACCATAGAACTAGCCCTCTTTTATTATGTTGCTTACTCTTGTGTGCTGTACTGTTCTTAGTTGCTTTTACTTGTTGCTTGTATGTCTACCTATGCGTGGTGCTTGCTACGAGTAGAACGAGAAATGTTTGTGAGCGCCGAAGATCATATGGTGATGACCGGAAGCAAAGTATGAGGAAGTTTGAGCAATTGAAGACAAGTATAATATGAGGCTCTCCTTGATACCTAATAATCATAGTCACTATATTCATGTTGCATGTGTCGAATATTATTAGCCCTTAAGGATATTTCTAGTATTCGTTATCTTGATCCTTGATACCTAGGCCATGTTCGCTTTGGCTTTTATAATCCGTGACCTTTTCAGCTTGTTTTTTTTTGAAAGGACGCAAAAAGGCTTGTTGTTATAGTCTCTCACAACAAATCAACCGGAATAGTGTTTTGGCTTGTTTTTTTGCCGATTGGAAACCTAACGGTTTAACTTGGGACCCTATTGGGTTTTCATGTGAATGGGTTGTTTTTAGTAGTCAAGAGGCTCTCACCTTAGGGTAAAAAAGTTCGGCAGAGTCAAAGTTGTTATAACAGCCATACTCATGGTCACGGTTTCTCTTTTTCGGTTCTTATTGTTACTCTATGATGTTGTTTTTCTCCCACTATTTTTCAGCTGCTACAGTATTTTCCAGCCGCTACAGTGCACACTTAATGCCAGCCGAACACTCCCTTAATGAAGAAGCTCCTTAATGTTGACTAATGACAAATGCAATTATGTTTAAAATGTGCTTTTTAGTAACATGGAATCCCTAAGGACTTATCTGTGAGCAAAATCCGGAACTTACAGTACAACAATGAGTGCTATATGGCTCTGCTTTAGTCACGTATGAGGACCTTTTCTAGCTTGTTAGTGGTTACCCGAAAGGGCATAAATGGGGCTTGCCACGATGGGTATAGTGCGGCCTTTGTTTCTAAGAGTACTTCTACGTGAGTGTGCCTTTTGAAAGAGGGGCTCTATATCTACTTGCCAATTAGAAACCTAACGCCCTAACTTGTTAGACAAACCTTTGAAAGACTTCATAGTGAACCCTGCCGGCCTTCCTTGGTAGTGGGTCAAGAGGTTGATCACCTCGGGCGAAAGGGTAAATCACAGCTCATGGTGAAAGTGTACAACCTCTACAGAGTGTAAAACTATTATAACAGCCGTGCTCATGATCACGAGCGGCTTGGAAAACTGACGAAATAATCGGTTCTTATTGTTATTCTATGATGTTGATGTTCATGTTTAATCATTATTGTATTATTGCCATTACTCATGATCTTGTGGGAACTGGAGCTTAAGTAAAACTTAGCAACTCAGGTTCTAATGATAAAACTTGATGTACTAAAAATGCTTACTGCTCTTAAACCATGTCTAGCCTTTGGAGCCTTCATTTTCCCATGTTATATTTGCTTGAGTACGACATGTGTTCACCCTTGCTATTTCCCCCACACCCCAATCTCTAGTCAAAGGCGCTCAGAGAATGATGAAGACATAGAGGAGTTCCTAGAAGACTGACAAGAGTGCTAGGCGTATGTTACCCCAGTCAACCATCTCTGTGGCTCTTGGGGGCTTCACTTGAAGATTAGAATTTAAATTTCCGCTACTTTGATGTCTACTTCGTCTCTATGTATGTATTATTATTCGATATGTAATAAACACTGTACTTGATACTATGTAATTTGTCGTCATATGTGTGTGATTGATTACCGGACACACATATGGTGTACTTCTGGTTTTATTCTTAAAACTGGGTGTGACATTAATTATAAGTGAAAAAATGTATTGATATAGGAAAAGGAGAGAGACAAAAGTTCCTTGTTCTCACAAAACAAAGGGTGTCCTAACAAGAGAAGATGTTGCGACTCAGCTTTCGTCTGCATGGAGGTGAGATAAAATAGAAAAAAAACAGCTCACTTGGATTTCATCCTACTTAGAGGTGAGGGAAAAAAAACTTGCTAGCGACTCCGTCATTCTTTCTTTTCTCTCAACAAACGAGGATAAGATTGCACCAAAACTCTAGCCACACCCTCCGGGTATCGTGTTACATAATTAGGTAAGTTTATGATTAATTTCAGAACATAAATCACAATAAATGCACATACTAGTTAGCATTTAATTCTATAATACACTAGTAGAATTAAACAACACAACTAATAACAACATTGTCTCTGAAACAACATGCATGATTAAATAGTAGATTCGATCACACACATACTTTTCATTTGCAAATGAAGATGCCACGACTAGTGGGGTGGAGAAGAGATGATGTTGTTGACGACATTGGCAAAGAAGGGTCAGTACTGAACCTAAAAGAGGAGAACCACTTCTGTTTGTAGACGATGAGAAAGCAGGTACTAAACAAGACTCAACAATACATGTAGTGAACGAGGGATGTGTGTGGGGGGGGTGGAGGGAGGGGAGGAGGGGTTTGCGCTGGCCCTCACCCCCTGGATTCTCCACTATACAAACCCGCCCCTCAATTAGGTACTAAATGGTGATAATTACTTATTAGTGTTTTATTTGCTCGATTTTCATTGTGATAATTCTTAATAATATCTATGTGATTTATGGTTAGTATGGACATAAGGAACCCTTGATGGACCATGATATCTTTCTGCGCTAGGCATGTCAATATTTGACAGTCTGCCATTGAGGACCGACTAATTATTGTATTCCTTTTTACTTGATCTCAGATTTTTGTTGAAAATTTTGGAGAGAGTGAAGAGGTTGATTCCCTTTTTGCTAGAGGTTGGTTCATATTTTTCCGACACCATTTTTTGGAGGGAAATCGAAGGCAGCTCACGTCAGACGCTTTTTTTTTCCAAAAATCGAAGCCTGAAGCTAGCGTAGGTTAATCAATGGTTAGGGGGGATGCCCAGTGAATGGCTGGTGGACAAAAGCTTCTCACTCTTTTTTAGTAGTAGGGGAGGGAAGACAGGTGTATAGGTGGGTGGGTAACTGGGTTGGGTTGAGCATTCATAAATAAACAAAGAAAGTTTTGTAGTTTGAGACTGAAAATTAGGAGAGAACAAGTAGGGCATACCCTAGCGTGAAACAATCTTGCTAGATTCCTAATCTGATGTTGGACTCAGACTCTCACTCATACCACTGGCACCATTCCTCGTAGATATCAACAATCATAATAAATAGAGAGGGCGGGTGAAAGCACCACCCACTCCAAGCAACCCAACCCCTAACTATCAAACCCCTCTCGAGCCAAGGAGAAGAAGGGAAGAGAAAAGAGAAAATAGGCAACTAGCAGGGTGCCGGCCGGCATGACAGAAGTGGCGGTTGATGCAGTAGTGAGAAACACTGGAAGAGAGCACCGATTAGAGCATAGCAACCGCCTGTGACCACCAAGAGGGGCGGATCCCTGAGATAAGGAGGCACGGGAAACCGTGATGGTGCGGCCATCCCACACAGTGATATCATCAGTTGCCAGTCAAACGACGGGGAGAGATAGGCACGAAACCAATTTGACTATAGGTTTGTGATAGACCCGGTGGCATCTGCGATGACCAACAACAGAGAGGGGGATAGAGGCTTAGAGAAAGGATCGTTGGTGTACGGAGAACCGAATAGTGAACAACGAGTTAAGCATTTCTAAAGGGCACAAGTTAAGCGGTAGTAGAATTTTGCTGCTCAGCCTCTTCAACAATTTGCTCGATCAGCAGCCGTATGGGGTGAGCATAAGTCCTTAGGTGAGCACACATGTCGTTGCATGCGTATAGGCCAATGCAATGCATGCGATCGGGCACCGGATGTTGATGTGTATATATAAAATAAACTACTACTCCGTAGTATATATATTTGCTTGATTTGTCCAACCATGTAATGCATGAAGCAGGAAACAATGAACCCTACTGCCTAACCTGTTGAATCCATTTGTCGCCGTTCGGAGTTTCCTAGTCCCCAAGCGTTGAAGACCACGGCGGATTGCTGAATCCAAGTGAAATATTCTTAATTATTTTAATTACTCGGGCTATCCCTTGTTTCCATGTGGATGTCTCGATGAATGTATGTCGCTGTACCGGCGGCAGGCGGCAGCTGATTGACAGAGACGCGACGACAATGACAATCAAATTAACGACCTAGGTAATTAATCGATACCATCAATGATCAATGCATAATAATTAAGATAAGAGGACGCCGCCCTAGCTAGCCAACCATATACACATATATACCTGCCGTCCTGCCGTCGTCGTCGTCCAGGTCGACCGATCCCCGGCCGGTTGTTTCAGGCAGGGCAGGGAGAGAAATGGCGAAGCTCTCCGGGGCGGCCGTGTTGCTCCTCGTCGTCGTCCCTCTGAGCATGTACACATGCGCCTTGCTCGTGGGCATCCAGCTCGGGCGGGCGCTAGAGAGGGGGCCGGACAACAGCGGCGGCGTCGAATTCACCTGGCGAGGAGCCCTCGACTACGTCACCAAGGTGATCGATCGTATCGTCGACGATAGCACAATAGCTCCAGCTACAGCTACCTGCTTGTTCATGCATCATCTCCATCCATCAGTTACATATACGTTGTGTTCGATCTCTTCTAGGGTAGAGATCATCTTTCTATCCATCCCCTGCTTCCATGCGTCGTCGTCGTCATAAAAAGAGGTGACTTGTTTGTCAATTGCCATGTACTTTTGTTTCAGGAGCTTTGGGACCTCAATGTTTTGGGACGGCGACGAGGAGGCAGGAGGGTTAGTGGTGGAGTCAGAGAACTAGTACCCGTCGTTGTGGCGTCATGGAGCACTGATGTTGAGAGGTCGTCGTCCTCCCTTCGTGAAGAAGCACTGGAACCCTACGTCGCCCTGCCTGAGCTCCCTTCGGCTAATGATGTTCTGAAGACAAAGAGCAGTGCAAATGCTACCTCAAGTACCCAGAGACACTACAATAATCATACTTCGGTACGTGCATGCGTGCTTTAATTTCTAGTACTAATCTTTCTTTTTCTATTATTATTTTTATTTTTACTTCAGACTGTTTATATAGGAGTCGATGGAGATCAATTATTGTTAGTCACTACTGCAGAAATATATTTTTCAATATTATTTTTTCACAGCCGATTTTACTGAAACCGTTTACTAAACTAAAACTGGTGGTGAAAACAATCTTTATTGCCTGTTCAAGAGAGAGGAGCCGATGCTAACAACCCCCACCCCCCACCCCCCTAGCTAGGGATGAAAACGGATCGGATACGAACGGATATCACTCATATTATATTTGTTTTCATATTTCTGTTCGGATTCGGATTCGGACACGGATAGCGTTCGGATACATATACGAATACGGATTGACTCGGTTACGGATACGAATAATGAGTATCGAATACGGTATGAATCGGATTCGGAGAAGGTCAGATACAAATATCTATTCAGATATTGAGTAAAAGCAACATATATATATATATATATATATATATCATACGTGCGCAAACCATTACACCACTCTATGAGTCCATAATCCATCTAGATTAAGCCGAAAGACTAAAGAGTAAAGCAACAAATAAGATAAAGATACAGATACATCATACATCATACATCATATAAGCACCAATCTTCGCGGCATGAGTAGAAATAGCCAAGCACATTGCTTCATGGGTCTCATGGAGTCATGGTCATGGATTCAAGATCTACAATCCTTATATAGGCCATTTTTTCATTTTGAGAAAGTTCAAACAAAATGTAGTTCAAATTTCACAAGTGTGTGACATAGTTTTAGAAAGTCTGTATGAAATTTAAGAATTTGTGACTAGTGTTTGATAAAACTTTCTCAAATGGGAAAATGAGCTATGTAACAATTGTATATCTTGCTGAGATGATCAAACTTGGTATTCAGAGTTTTTTCATCTGAGGTCATTTAGTGTCTCATTTGAGCAAGTTTGACCAAGTCAAATTTGGTCAAATGAAAAAACAACACTTTGACTCTAGTATTATGAACTCTAAATGACTTCAAATTGAAAAGTTTTGAATACCAAGTTTGTTCAACTCATCAAGATCTACAATTCTTGTTTTGGTCAACTTTCCATTTGAGATAGTTTGGACGGTTCAAATTTGTGATTTTTAAATTTCGATGCTTACAAACTAGTTTTCGGAACCCTAGATTGTCTCAAATTGAAAAGTTTTGAATACCAAGTTTGTTCAGCTCATCAAGATCTACAATCCTTATATAGGCTATTTTTTCATTTGAGAAAGTTTAAACAAAATGTAGTTCAAATTTCACAAGTGTGTGACATAGTTTCACAAAGTCTATATGAGATTCAAGAATTTGTGACTAGTGTTTGATAAAACTTTCTCAAATAGGAAAATGAGCTATGTAACAATTGTATATCTTGCTGAGATGATCAAACTTGGTATTCAGAGTTTTTTCATCTGAGGTCATTTAGTGTCTCATTTGAGCAAGTTTGACCAAGTCAAATTTGGTCAAATGAAAAAACAACACTTTGACTCTAGTATTATGAACTCTAAATGACTTCAAATTGAAAAGTTTTGAATACCAAGTTTGTTCAACTCATCAAGATCTACAATTTTTTTTGGTCAACTTTCCATTTGAGATAGTTTGGACGGTTCAAATTTGTGATTTTTAAATTTCGACGCTTTACAAACTAGTTTTGTAACCCTAGATTGTCTCAAATTGAAAAGTTTTGAATACCAAATTTGTTCATCTCATCAAGATATATAATCCTTATATAGGCCATTTTTTCATTTGAGAAAGTTTGAACAAAATATAGTTCAAATTTCACAAGTGTGTGACATAGTTTTAGAAAGTCTATGAGATTCAAGAATTTATGACTAGTGTTTGATAAAACTTTCTCAAATGAGAAAATGAGCTATGTAACAATTGTAGATCTTGCTGAGATGATCAAACTTGGTATTCAGAGTTTTTTCATCTGAGGTCATTTAGTGTCTCATTTGAGCAAGTTTGACCAAGTCAAATTTGGTCAAATGAAAAAACAACACTTTGACTCTAGTATTATGAACTCTAAATGACTTCAAATTGAAAAGTTTTGAATACCAAGTTTGTTCAACTCATCAAGATCTACAATTGTTGTTTTGGTCAACTTTCCATTTGAGATAGTTTGGATGGTTCAAATTTGTGATTTTTAAATTTTTTTATAAATATCCGGATAATATCCGTTTTTAAATATCCGGATATATCCGATAATTATCCGGATTATCCTATATCCGCCGGATATCGATGATATTACATCCGTATTTGATATCCGTCTAAGATATCCGTTTTAGTATCCGTATCCGAAAAAAAAACGGATATCCGAGTAACTATCCAGATAAATGTTCATATTTGTTCGGTCGAACGGACGGTCGAATAAATATCCGTACCGTTTTCATCCATACCCCTAGCGCACCGAGCTTTCACCTGCACCGCCCTCGCACCACATACATAGGTTGTGCTTTCTCGAGGTGTCTGATAGGAGGACCCTTGCGCCCACATGTCAGCCCCGCGAATGGGTGCACACGGAGCACACCAATCCAAGCCCCCACCGGCCCTATGTTTCTCCCATGTTTCTATTATCTCCCTCCCTTTTTGTCTCTCCCCTCCCTCTTGGGCTCTCAGTGGAGATGTCCTCCCCAGTGATTCTCTCTCTCTCTCTCTCTCCAACTCCCTAGTCTAACCCTAGGCGTGTCGCGGCCCGTGGCGGCAAATTCTAGGGCATGGGGCATACGGCCCCTGGAGTTCTCCTCCGTGCAACTCTCTCTCCCTCCACGTTCTCAGCGCGGCTAGTGCCCCCCTCCCTGGCACAGTCGTGGGGTGCACGGCACCATGGCAGCAGCCTAATGCAGGCACAGCTCAACCATGGTGGCTCGGGGCAGCACAAACTCGATGGCAGTGGGTGCGCACGGGCACGAGCTCGATGGCAAGCTAGGGGCGAGCTCAGCCACGGAGGCATGGGCAGTTGCAGACTTTGGACCATTTTACAGGGGGCAAATCAAATATGATCAACATTAATAGGTGCCATATTAACATTTTCTTGTCAACTGAATGGTAGAATTAAATATGTACTTAAGAAATTGTTTGTATAAGGGGGGCAAGGCCCTCTTTGGCCCTAAGGAAGCTCCACCCCTAGGCATGGGCGTGGAATTGGCCGGTGGTTCCAGTCGCTGATTGTAGCATACTCTTTTTATAATTTTTCTTCAATTCTCACCGTCGGATGCAAACCGACAATGGTAACCTCCATTTCAACCACCACTTTATCCACTACCCTGCAAAACCGGCAGTGTTGGCGTTTATGTAGTTGTGAGTACACCCTCCTTTTTAAATTGTAAGTCGCTTTTGTTATTCCAAATTTATAGCTTTTACTTCATATACATGTAGATAGCAAAATCTATTTATTCAAAAACAAAAACAAGATGACTTACAGTTTGAAATGGAGAAGGTATTAGGCAAGCTAGGGTTTTGTATACCAGATATATAATTAGGGTGGCATGCAGTTAAGCGCATATATCACTAGTACATAGATGGGCCATAGTCCTGTGACTAAAGGTTCTGTGCGAGGCTAAAAAAATAATGTGTGATTTGTGGGACTCGAACTCAATTCAAAACCTCATCCAATGCCTCGCTTATAGCTAACCACTCCACCTACACAACACATGTGATTTTGGATGGGATGCTTTCCTTTTGAACTAACCCCTGGAGAACCTTTAGTCCGGGTTGGTAACACCCAACCGGGACTAAAGGGTCTACATTGGTCCGGGTTGGTGTTACCAACCGGGACTAATGCCTTAAGGCTCTTTAGTCCGGGTTGGTTACACGAATCGGGACTTATTACCAAACGGGACTAAAGGTCGCTTGACGGACTTGAAACTTGGACTCGGGACTAATGTGCTAAAAGGAAGGACTGTTTTCTACTAGTGTATATAAATAAAGTAGTACTAGTGTGTCGTGCAGTTCAGAATAATGAAGTAAATACAAAGGCAAAAACAACATTTCCCCACCTTTTCTTTCCTTAGATTTGAGAAAAAAAATTGTTTTTCGGTGTCATATAACAAAAGATCATGGTTTCACGATCATATCTAGCAAATTTTGATGTTTGAGACGTGGACTAGCTAATTCTATCTTTGTTTAGTGTTCCATAGAAACGTATCAGGTGCAAACCAACTAATCTGTGCAAACTTAGAAACTACCAATCAGGACCACTAAATACTGATCCAATGGATGAAGTGAGAGGTGTGATTTTTTTGCCCTTAAACCCCCCACCCGCCGGCCTTTTTTTTTTTTTTGAGCTTAAGCCCTCTCACCATATCCATTAGATCAGCATCTAGTTGTCCTGATAGGTAGTTTCTAAGTTTATACAGCTTGATTGGTCTGCATATGATATGTTGCCATCGAAATTTTGACCTATATATAAAGTAGTACTAGCAGTATGAATATATATGAATAATAATGAATGGCGTGGTGTATTGCATTGCAGCCGAGGGGTGTGATCAGCGTGGGCCCGTGGGGTGGATCCGGCGGGCAGCCGTTCTACATGCGCGGCGCCAGCGCTCCTCGCCTTCGTAGCATCATCCTCTACCATTCCGGCGCCGTCCACTCCCTCTCCTGCGAGTACACCCTCGCCGGCGACTATGGGGGGCCGCCGCCCCGAGTGGCTGGTCCGTGGGGCCTCCCGGATTCCTACGGCTCCAGAGGAGTTCGTACCCAGGTAACGACTAACGACCGCCCAGATCCATCACCTTTTCTTCCGATCCTTGCATGCATTTCGCTTGGTTTGCAAAAGTTATGTGAATATATATGCAAATAATTCCTGTGCAGATCGACCTGCGTTCAGGGGAGCACATCACGGCAGTGGAGGGGACGACGGGGCACTTCGCGAACGTCCCCGGCGTGGTGATCACCTCGCTGACGTTCCGCACCAGCGCCGGCAGGACGTACGGGCCCTACGGCAGCGTGGACGCAGGGTCTCACTACTTCTCCGTGCCGGCGGCGGACGGCGCCTGCATCGTCGGCTTCTGGGGTCGCTCCGGCTGGCTTGTCGACGCCATTGGGGTTTACATGAAGCCTTCTTGCTCATCATCATCATCATCAGACACGGCGGCATACAAGAAGTATGCATCCAGACGTCAGGGACGAAATTAGTACTGTGAGGATGATGGAAACATAAATAAATAAAAACAAATCTCGGCCGGGCGTAGTATGTTGTAATAGACAAATTAAATCTGATAAGTCTTTTTTATATATTTGTGGATAGAGTGAGTATATATGTAACTGATCACTGGCGTTTGTATGGCTGAAAAAGAGCTATGATGTGGTCAGACACGTGGTCAATATAATGTGCAATGCAAAACCTATACTCTGTGTCTCTGTTATGTATGCAGACTATTCCATGGCAAATAAAGCCGCCAAAGCTGACTAACCATTGAAATTACTCCCCACCACATGAAACTAAATTAAAGAAATAGTAGCTTATATATATACACAACCACGGCACCACACCACCACGGCACCATGGATCATATTCATATCAGTAGTTATCAGTAAACACCACACCACCACGGCACCATGGATCATCATCTCGAGCAACAAGCAGCAGAGAGCGAGAAGAAGGCGGTGAAGCTGCTCGGCATGTGGGCAAGCCCCTACGTCCTCCAGGTGAGATGGGCGCTAGCGATGAAGGGCGTCGAGTACGAGTACGTGGAGGAGGATCTCCGGAGCAAGAGCGCCCAGCTGCTGGCGTACAACCCCGTGCACAAGAAGGTCCCCGTGCTGGTCTACCATGGCAGGCCCATCGCGGAGTCGCAGGTCATCCTCGAGTTCATCGACGACGCCTGGAACCACTGCGGCGACCCCATCCTCCCTCGCGACCCCTACCGGCGCGCCATGGCTCGTTTCTGGGCAAGATTCAATCAGGACAAGGTCAGGACTCAGGAAGAAGAAGAGGAGTTCATTATCTGCATGCAGCTCTGTGTTCATCAGTTTCAGTTTCTGCATACGTGCCTTCATGCGTGCAGCTCTCGCCGCCGATCTGGAGGTGGTTCACGACGGAGGGCGAGGAGCAGGAGGCAGCGTACGAAGCCGCCGTAGAGCAGCTGCTGGTCCTGGAGAAGGAGCTCCGTCGGCGGGAAGCCGTTCTTCGGCGGGGAGAAGGTCGGGTTCGTCGACCTGTCGCTCGGCCCGCTGGCGTACGTGATTCCGATCTACGAGGAGATCGTCACCGGCGGCGGCGGCGGCGGCGTGAAGATGGTCACGGAGGAGAAGATGCCGTCCCTGGCTGCGTGGATGGGGAGGTTCCTCAGCTCGCCGGCCGTCAGGGGTCATCTGCCGCCGCTGGAGAAGCTGCGGCCCAGGTATCAGGCGATGCGCGAAGCGTTTCTCGTCTCAGCAAGAGCAAAAGTTGAGCAGCAGCAGCAGTAACTAGAGCTTGCTACTTGCACTGTGCGTTTCTCGTCTTATCACGTTCTTCTGCTCTCTATCCTTTCTGAAAGAGTCAAAGAGATTTTACCATGTAAAGAAAGACAAAGCCAAGGTATTTATATGTACCTAGTACAGTGGTCGTACTGGTAATTTGACCTCTGTGTCATGCTTGTTGCAGATATAAACTACAATCCAACCGTGTCAGTGTCACTGTCACTGTTGTTCTTCAGACTGAACTTTGCCGTGGCACTACTATGACAGATGATGCGTGCTTCAGATTATTATTAATTAGTCCTTGCTGCTGCTCTGATGAACCATGGCATGCATGTTTGATTGTTTATCGCTGTTGCAGCAGCAGCACTGGCATCGGTCATCATCTGCTATACTAAGACATTTGACCAGACATTGACCATGCATGAATCGAAGATTTTGAGATGAGGTGAGTGTGCTATTTCCAAAGCAACTACTGGTCGATCTCTACTCTCTGTCGCGTGCCCTGCATGTCCAGCCTAGTGTCCAGCGCAACCTCTGTTTTTTACTCTCCCTCCACGCATGGTTATTATAAATAAAAGCGAGTTAACTTTACCAAGACGCAGGTAGTAGCAGTAATCCTTTATACAAGAAGTTTAAACTTATCAGTCCAATTTAACAGTTATAGTATAATGTTTTTTTCTCATAAAAAAAATACATCAGATGACTTATCACCCGTAGAAACCATCAGCCAAACAACGAGGAACTGGCAGTAGCATGTCTCAAAATTGCCACGTCTATAGCTCCTTCGCCGGCCACGTAACGTACTGATCCGTTCTTTGGATAGCACCAGCGATCAGGCAGCTCAACGGGGCCCATCCCAAGGACACATCTTTAGCTCCTTCATTGGCCACGTACTAATCCATCAGTGATCTGGCAGCTAATTCGGGTGATGTTCAATGGGGCCCATCCCATGGATGGACTTTTTTACTATGTCTTTCTACGGAGCTTTACATGTTATCGTGTGATGTTCAAAAAACGCATTTTAGAGAACTCTTCTATCAGATCCATACGTAAGCATAATCGGAAGGAAGATTTTGTACCCTAATAACTGAACCCACTACTGTCGTAAAAAAACTTGAGGCATCCCTCACTCGAGTTCTACACACCCATCACCCTTCAGATCTCCTTATCACCGGTAGAACAACGCCAAGTCACACTGTATCTTTGCTGGTGAAAACCCACTGTAACAACGCAATAGGTCATCGCTGGTGAACACCATCATCAAAAATCAAACAGAGGTTCTTCATCACGAATCACAAGGTAATAACCTTTTTCGTTCCACCATCCTTCAGTAAAGTTCGATCAAACAGCAAAATGCATGTCTTCAACAGCTAACAAAATACGATAAAACCAGCTAACGGCTCAAGAGACATGTGCCGACACTGTCGTACAATGCTCGTAGCAAAAAGTCTTGCAAGCTGATAAAACAAATAAAAATTAGAAAATTATAATATAATTATACTCTGACGTCGAATCTTAATCCACCAACAAACTATTTTCTCCATATTTTATTTTAATTTCATGTTCTATTTGAATATTATATTTCATTCAGATTTACTAAAAGGCAAGCATTGCTCTTTCGTCAAATCCCGGCCAGCTCAGAGATAGCATTGCTCCTTCATCAAATTCTCCTAGAACCCACACAAAATCACTACTAGTCATCTCAGAAATGGCGCAGCAACACCGCGCCCCAGGTTTTCTAGTGTAATCGATTATTGTTGATTTTTTTTTAGCTATATGCCACATGCTGGCTGACCGACTTGTCTGTTTTTTTCCCCGAGGTAAACCCTGCTTTTATAGAGAGCAAATTGTTTGCAAACATGTTTTTAGGGGGTGTTTGTTGCCCCTTCTAAATTTTAGTCGCTGTTCCATTGGATGTTTGGATACATGCATGGAGTATTAAACATAGACTAATTATGAAACTAATTACATAGCTTGCGACTAATTTGCGAGACGAATCTTTTGAGTCTAATTAGTCCATAATTTGACAATGTTTGCTACAGTAAACATGTGCTAATGACGGATTAATTAGGCTTAAAAATTCGTCTCGTGGAATACTGACGGATTATGTAATTTATTTTTTATTAGTATCCGAACACCCCATGCAACAACCTTCCGACACACGTCCTAAATTTTAGTAGCTAGATCCAAACACCCCCTTATAGAGAGCAAATTGTTTGATACAAACGCACACCACACACGCACCGGGAAAACCAGCGTTTACATGAGAGCTTAACATCTAAACAAGTAACCAACAAGTAACCAAACAAACAAACCGACTTAACAGCTACAAAAGCAAAGAAAAGACCGAACTCCCAGAAACGCCGACTCCATCAAAGATCTTTGTGCAGAAAAACCAAGGTCTCATCCAGGCACTAAGAAAAAACTCCCTAACCCCACCAAAAGTAGCTTCCAGCAGCTCTCAAAGACAAACAAATTAACCATCGAAACCACCCTTCACCTTTCATAGAAGCAGTACAGAAAAAGCACCCATCTCTATACATCACAGTACTCTATCCACTTCCATTTGATTAGTTGGTTCCCAGAAGACCTTCAACCAGCTTTTCACTTGTCTTGACACGTCGACGCTGAACCGAACAAAAACCAAAGTACTAGATTAAGACAGCTAGAACCAAACACCCTGCTCAGAATGCAGATTACAAGATCAACCACTAAGACCTCTCGCCTGCAGACTTGTCTGTGTACAGAACATGTCAAATTTTGCACTTTTACAGTTACGGGATATATGTACCCATGTTCTAATCTATACCTAAATACCATCAGCTTGTTTAACACTAGCTAGCAAGCAGGGCGTGCCTATTGGGCACTTAAATACAGCTTAATTGAAAAAAAAACAAGGCTTCAACTTGCATAAACAAAATACAAAATATATTGGATCTCAACATTTGTCTTTAAGACCTGCTAGCATGTTGGTGCTCTCATACAGTACGGTTCAACGGTTCATAACAAGAAGAAACACATAAAAAAAAGTGTCTACAGTGACAACTTGGTGTGCTAGTCCTTAGGTGCATATAACACCTTACTACAGTTCTCAAATCGGTAAAATTTCATGCATAGTCCTGGCCTAGAGAAACTCTGAAATATTTGGTACAGCTCCTTGGCCTTAACTTCAGAGATTGAACGACAGAAATTTACTGTCATCTCTTTAATCTTTGTCCCCCAATCAAAAAGTCGTTTCACAAAAGCAACTTCATGTTTAGTTCCTCTCCATCCACCAATTACTACTTCTTCAAGGTGATTCAACAAGAGTTCCTCTGTTTCCCACTCTACTAGCTGAAGGCATATGCAATCGGATGTGCATACAGTCTGGGCCTGAAACCAGGAAGTATCAACTTAATAAAATTAATTGATGATTGAATGACAAAAATGAGAGAGTAAATTGTCAGATTCCTGAACACTTTCGAGGTGCGCCAATGTGTTGATATCAACAACTACAGAATAATTCAGCCTAGTAACCAGTTGCAGCAATATAATTTTCTGCTAAGACAAAAGATAGCACATAAGAGCATAATTTCTGTTTATAAAATCACATAGAATTCCATGTAATAACAGAAATATGCTATTATTAACTGCCCAAAATTAAGGAGACTTTGAATCAATCTTAGTGCATAGCCCCTGTATGGACCTACATAACCTTTATATTTTTCTTTAAAAAAAATAAAAATACTCAGGCTAATTACTACTTCAACTTTCTGTTCATTGCCATATTATTTTCTAACTCTTATATACATTACCAAGGTTGATCTGCTTTAGCGTCATTCAACGACTCACCAGAAGTCCAGAACCATATATTTCAAACAGGCTAACAATAACTAGAAAGAGTGCAACTATTTACAGCCCAAATAGTATACCAACAGTTAAATCTACAGAGTAAAGTGCTATCATTGGGATATCAAATAAACCATACATCTGACAAAAAAAAATACAAATGCAGGTTTCTTCCGATTACTTCCATGGCAACTTAAATACTTACTCCAGTAAGAAAATGTGTTGTGTTTACCTAGGGACCATGTCTAACTAAATACAAACACATGTTTTTTTTCATAAAAACAGCATGCATGGATCTACCTTGAAAAATAGTTTAATAATAATGCTTTAAATTAATTTGGCTTTCGATATATACTTCGACAGAAATTAATCAACAAAAATGCCTTTTAGGGACCAAAATGCTACCTTTTTTTTCTGTGTCTAGAGAGATATTAGGTAAACAAAGAATAGGTTTACCTCTGACTCTGATCTAGTAGCAACGAACAACAGCATCAACCTTGTTATACCAGTACACAATCTGAGAACATGGAATGCGCTGGCCTCCAAGGCATGTCCATTTGCCATTACCATCAGGGACAAAAATGTAATGTCTGGTAGCACTGCCATGTCTTCCATCATGTAGTCACAGTTCATTATAACCTGTGTGTTTTCATAGGAAGTAAAACAAAGCGAGTCACATGTGACAGTTCGAAGGGGAATGAAACCTAAAGCTGCTAGTTGACCATTGTGTGCACAAAACTGTCGCTATAAGCTAACAAGTTCATTCTTGGTTCCTTACACAAAGCATGGCCATTGTGAGCTGCTTAAAAGACTGGACTACTTGTTCTCTAGAAAATACTTTGGCTCTCATGTTTCTTGCATATATAATGGAAAATAGTAATTAATCAGTGTGCTCAGCAATGTTGGAGAGACCTGAGGTCCTAAGCAAACCAAAATATGCGATGACTTCTACCAATGATGGTTTCCTGATATCACCATCTTCTAGACAATTTGACAAAAAGTCAAAATAGTGGAAATGAAACATTCTTTTAAGTAAGCCATTTGGTTCAATGCACAAGTCAACTTATTTTATCCTAAACAAAGACTCCTAAGTAATACGCCTGAAGTACTTTATTTACTTGCTTTTATATGTCTGCTGGAGCCTTAGGAGTTAAGTTTTTATTTACAAAAAGAGGGCATTGAGCAAGGAGGACCATTCTTAGTCAGCATGTCACATAGGAATCTTGGATTGATACACTAGCATAGCATGGTATGGTACTACGATGGCATAATGGTTCCAGATAATAGAAGTGAGAACTCACCTGTAGATACACCAGCGTTAGAAAAAGACTTTTGATGCCCTCAAAGCGCTGCAAGAGACTCAAACAAGATTGATTGTGCAGGAAACCACCATTTCCATAGACAAGATAATAGCGAGTTCCCAGCCATTGAAGATGTGCCATCTTGCCAAGGTGGACAGAACTCGGGTCATATTCATCAATCGAATCAAGTTTCGTTAGCAGAGGGGCCGAAATGTTGGCGATCGGTGGACTCTTGAGAAAAGATTCCACAGTTAACTCCTCGAGCGCCGGCGCCACAACCGTGAGCTGAGACAAGGCTCGCAAGCCCCTGAGTTCCATCAACAGCATAGACTCAGCCCACGGGCGTCCTCAACGGTGAGCCTCTGCAAGCACGGGCACCGTGGCGAGGACACGGCATCGCCTAGCTCGCCTGGGCCGTGGAACCAGACGCGGCTCAGGTGGAGCCCGGTGAGGCGAGCGAAGACACCGGTGAGAGGCACGGCGAGGCCCTGAAACCCCAGGAAGAAGGAGATCGTGGTGGCCTTCTCAAAGCAGGGGAACTCAAAAGCGCCTCTCTCTCCCCCGCATCTTCCACCGGACAGTAGGTTTTAAGGGTCAGGTCGCCGGAGACGCGGCGCGCGGCGGCGGGGAGCCAGACCGCTAGAGACTCGGCGGTGGCGCCGTCGGCCACGACGAGGAGGTCGCGGAGGAGCACCTTGTGGCCGTCGAGGGCGTCGCGCAACCGGTGGGGCTCGGGGGGCGAAGTGAAGCCGAGCACCGGGAGGAGAGCCCAGATGCGGCGCCAGCGGTGGGAGAGGACGCTCGTCCGGGCGGCGGCGCGGGTGGTGAGCTTGAGGAGGATGAGGACGAGGACGTCGTCGTGGAGCGGGATGAGCCGGTCCTCGCCTGCGACGGCGGCGGCGGTATCGGAGGAGGAAGGGAGCCCGTGGCGCTTGGCGGCGCTCTCGCATAGCTCATACACCAAAGTAAAATGAAGAAAATCTAAACTAAGCTCACCGATCTCCCTAAGAATTGGCGGCAGACGAGAATGTTGATAAAATCCCCTCTTGCCCAAAGTCCGACCGGCTCCTGATTGTCTATCTTCACGACCGCCTTGGCAAAGAGCATTGTGCGCTCAGTCAAGAGAAGACATGCCGAATGGATTCACGTGCTGTCAGCTCCACATATATCACAGAATGCAGTTGGCTCAACACTGATTTCGCCGGCAAACATTCATGGAGAACTCTCCAGCAAAAGACTTTCACTTCCGGGGGTACATTCAGCCTCCAGGTCTTCTTCCAAAACTCATCTCCCGAGCTCTCCGGTGTTTGTTGCTGGTGTGCTGACGTAAGCTTCCGGTACGCCGACTTTACAGAATACACACCATAGTCACCTCCTGTCCATCCCTGGTTGTGAGTGGCTTAGCGTCAAAGTGCATCGGTAATTCGGTATCCACCTGTCCTGCCAGATGTTCGTCGAGGTGCCATTGTCGAGGACACCATAGTAAGATTGTTGGGCCAGACGTGCTGGCGTGACTAAAATTGTTAGTTTTGCGAATTTATTTTGGGACGGTGCTTGCTGTTGCCGGTCATCTGCAAGGAGTAGGACATTTACCATGCATGCATGAATCGAAGATTTTGAGATGACGTGACGTGAGTGCTATTTCTAAATTACGTGCCCTCTGCCCTGCCCCTGCATGTATGCATGGTTACAGTAAAAACAACCACCACTCCAGGTAGTACATCATCGTTCATTTTCTTTTTTTTTTGCACTACCTATACCAACAGATAGATAGAAAGTTCATTAATTAAATAAATGCAATGACAACAATGGAAAATAACTCACGTGAATGAAAGAGAGCAAATTCAGCTGAAACTGCATAAATATTGCAACTGCTGTACTTTATATATTACTTGCTTTTATATGTCCGCTCATAAGTAAACTTATATATTTTATCCTAGACAAAGATCTCATAAGTAATATGCCTGAAATACTTTATTTACTTGCTTTTAAATATGTCTGCTCGACCCTTAGGAGTTACCAAGTTTTTGTTTAAAAAAGAGGGCATCGAGCAAACTTTAATTCTCGGGTAGCGGGCCGTCACTCTTACTAGTCAGCAGGTCACATAGGAACCTTGGATTGATGCACGAGCATGGTATGGTACTACGATGGCATATAGTTCCAGATAGTACAAGTGAGAACTTACCCGCTGATACACACACTAGCATGGTACGGTGTATGTAGTATATATATTCGGTAACTCTCTTGTAATTAAACTTTTAAAATTTGACACCTTGTAAACAGAGACGAGTGTCTGTTTGAACGGCGGGAGACAAGCGTGAGCAGCCCATGAGGTATTGCGTTCCTGTGCGACTGCAAGTCTGTAACCCATCCTGGTGAGACGGTGACTCAGGTACTACACTGTAGGTAGTACTGCACTCGTAGTCCGTAGAGTAGTGATCAGGTGTTGAGAAGGGTTGGTCCTTGGAATCTGTCCAACTGGGTTCGAATCCTTAATTTAGCGTGGATGTTTGTATTTTTCTGGATTTATTCCAAGATTTAATGGCGTTATGTTTTCAGTGTTAGGCGACGTAAGTGACTTCGTGAATCTCGAGATCTGTCGGCTCGGTCCTTCAGAGGTAGTACCTGAGTTAATAGGAGTAGAATTTATGTACGTGTATTCATAGGAGTGAGTGGGTGTCTGCACAGTAATGAAAAAAAAAGTGTTCACAACAGAGGAAATGTCCTCAAAAGAATGGATTCCACTTCAACACTCCACCCGGACGTTGTCATCGTCCTTTACCTTATTGGTTTCGTCTCTTTAAGCTTTAGGATACGTTCGATTGAACTACTTTTATCAATATTTTTAAGAAATAAATAATGTTTTCTCTCGTAATAAATCAACATAAGCATTATATTAGCTAAACTTCAGCGAGCTAAACTTTAGTCACTAGGTATTTAGTTTAGATGACTAAAAGAGACTAAAAAAGGCTTTTTAGTCTATTTTAGTCAGGGTTTGGCTCCAAAGTGATTAAAAGATGAGGTTTAGTTTCTTTTAGTAACATTTTAGTGACTAGTTGGCTAAATACTATTTAGTCTCATTTAGTTATAGTATTTGGATGAAAAGTGACTAAAACAGACTAGATTTAGCTAGCTAAACTTTAGGAGGGGCAAGCTAAACAAGGCCTAAAGGCTTCGTATCATTCAGCATTGTTTTAGGATATCCATCATATTCCTCCATAATTATACTATTAGACTAGTCTCAATATCATATTTTAAAAACAGTGCAGAAGATAGAGTTTCATCCCAACAAAATTCTCTCTGCTCTCATAAAATTCTTATCATCTCTCTTCATTAATACGGTGCCATATCAGCATATTTAACGCCGATGAAACTATGATGAATTCACTTATGAGAGTGGCCTTATTACTCCCTCCGTCCCAAAAGAAAATGCAATTTTCGTTTCTTGGGGAATCAAACGATTTCAACTTTGACCAAAATTATATAAAAAATTTACTAACATTTATAATACAAAATAAAGTATCAATAGATTAGTAACGGAATATATTTTCGTAATAAATCTTGTTTGAAACATAAATGTTAATACTAATCACTATAAATTTGATAAAAATTTAGACAAGTTGACCGGCACGAATCTTCTTATACCACGTTAATCCGTTCACGAAGCGTGTTCAGTTGTGTATTCAAGGGTTGTCTGAGCAGCAGCCTTGACCAGCTAGCTTGTTCGGCTGAGCAAGAAGCCGGCTTGTTCGGCTTATTTTTCCAGCGGAGGACAGTGTTTTTTGTCACAACAAACTAGCATGAACAGTGTTTTCAGCATGAACAGTGCTTTTTCAGTCCAGCCGAATCCAAGTTGTGCTGTTTCCTAGGGTTGGTTGCGTTGGAACAAGAGAGCACTGTTGCCATTCGTGCTCACCAATAGCTAGCGTGCATCTAAACGCATTTTTTTAAAAAAAAATACTTCATTGGCTTGTTTGGCAGGAATTCACCGTTGTAAAAACAGAATTTGGATTAGGATTCACCGTGGATCAGCTCCATTGTAGATCTGAGATTCATTGTGGATCTACCAGAAAACTGTTTGGCTAATACAGCAGCTCTAGATCCACACAAGGGTATTTTCATTCGAATGGCCAAAATTACCCTTGGGAACTAGTGCTCTCTCTATCTCACTGTCATCCTGGGCCTACACATCAGCTCTTCTATCCTCATCCTATCAGAGCAGAGCACATCGCAGGCACGCAGATCGGCCTCACCAGAGCTCGAGGCCACGATGGCTCGGGACGGCCTCGCCGAGCTCGGCCACGGCGAAGGTCGTGCGCACAGGTGGCCTCGCCGAGCGTGTCCACAGTGGCCGGGCTCGGCCTCGCCAGAGCTCGCGAGCAGGGAGGCACGCCCGCGCGGGGAGGCACACAGCCAGGCCATGGGGCGCGGTTGGCGACCACTGCGCCGGCGGAGTGGGAGAGGGAGGCGCTGGGCGCTCACGGACAGAGGCTCGCCGGATGTTGCGCTCCCTGGCCATGGCGCGCGCGGACGGACCAGCGACAGTGGAGGGTAATTTTCCCCAACTCCACTAAACTTGAGTGGGGGGAGCACCGCTGAGGAGCTCTACCAATTTGATAAATCTAGCCTCTAGATCCACCAATTTGGTGGATCTGGACTGTTCGGCAAAGTTTTGTTGGAGGAGCTGAAAACGGTGAATGTGGAGTTGTTGAATCTCTGTCAAATAGGCCCTATATCTCCTAGCGGACACTCATATCTAGCTTACACTACTGTGCAAATGATTTCGCGAAGCACTGCTCAATCATTAATGGAGACGGTCATAAAATTTATCTGTTTTCTAAATTAACTGATGATTTTCGGTGGCGGTAAAAAATTGCTCATCTCCTAAAATAGTTTTATGGAGGCAATAAAAAATTGTTAGTCTCCATAAATAGATTTATAGAGATGGGCCTATTAACAGGTCCGCCTCTCCGATAGTGGCCTGCCTCCGTAAAGAGGCTCGATGCACAATAGGCCAAGGAAGCCCAATAAATATAGGTTCATAATGGATTAAAACGGGATCCCGCGAAAATGGACAGAATATACCTTTTTTGTCCATTTTCATCCCTAGCTAGAGCGCATGGGCCATGCAACATGGCAGCCAACGACGACTCGTGAAAATCAGTCTTTCGATAGGGTGCGCCGCATAGTCCCAAGAGCACCTCTATGGAAGACACGTAGGGGGTGTTGTAGGTTCGGCAAGGCCACCTAAGATGAAAACTAATGAATCTCGTCGAGAGAAGCGTAAATAACAAGTAATTGGGGTAGAAGAGATTAAGGTGTGAAGGTGCAAAAGTAAAGGTAGATTTATTTTTTGAACAATTGGATACTTTAATCAGCGGTGAAGCTCTCATATATGGAGAAATGTGGTCTTATCCCACTAAAAAATGAATCCCCAATGAAAATCTATCTATGTATTTCTTAGATCTCCCCTGGGACTGTAGGCCAAAACCAGCTCAGTCGGTTTTCACGGATAGAACCAGCTAAAGCTACATAAATCAGCTAAGGGGGTGTTTAGTAAGGCTCCTCCCGAGGGGCTCCATCAGAGGAGCCGGAGCCATTTTGGAGGAGCCAAAATTTTCAAAACGGCTCCGGCTCCTCCGTTTTTGACCGGAAAACGGCTCCTACAAAACATATGATATGACTCTTCCGAAGGAGTCAGAGCCAGGAAGGAGCCTTACCAAACAGGGCATAAGCTAATTTTAGTTGGCTTAGTGTAAACTAGTGCAAATCGACGTAGTCGGTTTCTGAAACCAACTTACCCAGTTTTGGTTAGGGATGACAATCCACTCGTGGGTGTGGGTGCCCACGGGCACCGCACTCATTAGGGTGTGGGCGCAGGTGCAACATCGGACTTGCGGCACCGGGCTCGTGATGGTGCCTTGTTGGGTGCGGGTGTCATATTTCACTCGCGTGTGACCTGCGGCGCTTGAAACGTGTGTTTTTCTTTTTCTTTTTTCTTCTCCCTCCAATTAGACTTGTAGAACTAATATTTGGCGTGAGGCTATGTAAAAACTAGGATGATTTGTGTGGACTATGTTGTCTACATAGTATGTGCTAGACTAGATCTAAGTTGTTGTAAATTTCTGATTCATTGGTGATGATAGATTGATAATTGTGTGTTATGTTCTCTCAAATTTTATTTTTTTGGTTATATACATTAGCTTCTTATTGACACGTCGTACGCGAGGAGGCCAGCCACGGGCGCGGCCAGCGCGTACCGACGCGGCGCGGCGAACGCGACCGTGGAGTTTCCTACGAAGCGCTCGAAGACGATGGTGAGGCGGCGCGCGAACGGGGCTGGCACGACGCGCGGCGGGATGGTGAATCCCGTGGCGTTGACGCCGTCAGCCCAGAGCGCGTTACTTACGCGCTGCTGCGAGCTCGAACCCGACGCCGCCTGTCTCGCGGAGAGGTTGGCCGGGAGGGGCAGGTCGACGAGCTGGCTCGTGTTGGTGGTGGTGTCGCGGAGCAGCTCGGACGCGCGGCCACGGACCGCGGCCTCGATGGCCGAGATGTTTTTGGTGTGGCCCTGCGGCTGCGCCGGGCAGGGGTGAAAGAAGCAGGTGGCGAGGACGAGGGCGTGCACGAGCAGCGACGGCAGCGGCAGGGATGCCTTGGCCATTGACGCCTTGTCTTCGTCGGTGGGCTAGCTCTACGGCAGGAAGCCGCCATCGCGACGGAGAGGAATGGAATGGAATGGAACGGTGGTGGTTGGAGAGGCCAAGCTGGGCACAGAGGCTAAGCCCCCTTTGGTACGGCTCATCGAGCAGCTTCTCGAGCGGCTTTTGATGAAGCCGTGCCAAACGGTGGCTCCTAGAGATGGCTCACGACCAGAAGCCGGCAGAAGCCCCGCAAAACGCGGTGAGTGCGTTCCTCCCCGCGCGAGAAGCCAAAAATAGTGCCTTATCATGGCTCATTCCCATCCGAACGTGTCCAATTCCATCGCTGTCCTCAGGGTTCGTGGCGTTGCTGTTCAGCTTCAGCGCGCAGCGCTTCGCCGGGCGAGGAACGGCGAGTTCGTCGGCTCCCGAGAGGCGTCGTCGGTGTCCGACTCCAACCTGGTGTCTGCGACGAAGGAGTCCTTTGTCCAGGTGAGCTGGCACCTCTCGCCATCGCTGGCACCGGCCGACCGTTGGTTGGAGCTAGACACCACCTGTACACCAGATGGCAAAGTTTTAACGGTGTGCACGATGGATCAACAAAAAAGTAACGGTAATGGCATACAAGGGAACAAAAATTATAAATCAATGGCAATGAAGGGAACTTATAGATTTGAATGACAATGAAGGGATTAGTATAGCTTTTGATGGCATTGAATGAATTTTCTCTTCTTATTAACACACCCACACAGCCAGGCAGCCACAGCCACACAGCTAGCTAGCACAGCCAATCGGCCATTGGCCTACGTATGTTGGCAGGATTCCTATAGCTTGGCTCTATGAAACGTTTTGAAATGTCAGCGTCAACGAGCTTGTTCGGATGGCTGGCTGGTCGGGTACTGTTTATATAAACAGTGTCTTTCGAATAGAATATTATTTTTTTTGCTCAACAATTTAGTTGGAACAGTATTTTGTTGCCGCTACCAGCTCCAGCGTCCAGCAGCCTCGAGCATCGCTTGCATTGCCATGCATTGATTTTCACATCCATCGCTTTCATTCATTTCATCCGTGGAGGCAGGCCTTTGCCTTTGCCTGCAGCCTGGATCCCATTCCCATGTCATGCCCGGTGGTTAGGAGGAAGTATCCACCCCCTAGTTCAAGCGAACAAAGCAGGTAGTTTAACGAGACGCCATGGGCTCTAGCTGGCCGTTTGTTCAATCTAGCACACACAGCACAAAACAAATTGGCCCTGTTTATACGAGCTTATTCAGAACTATTTATCAGCTATAGAATAATATTTTTTTTTGTTAAACTAAATTTCAGTATCAGCGAATAGGGTTAAAACCCTGCTTGTCCATGCTGCATGCATGCATGTAAGGATGAAAACGGTCGAACTCGGTCGAAAAACTCCTCAACCGTTTTTTACTTTTACATTTAAAATACGAAAGCGAAAGCGAAAGCGGATAAGTCGGACACGAAAACAAATACGAACTTACGGAATATCTAGAATTTCGGAAACGAACCAATTCGAACGGAATTATGTCGAACACGGTTGGTATATGAAAATTCAAATACGAAATACCGACCCACAGTGCATAGCATTAAACAAGGTCCAGTTTAGTTGCAAAATATTTTACAAAATTTTTCAAGATTTCCCATCACATCGAATCTTTGGACGCATGCATCAAGCATTAAATATAAATAAAAAAATAAAACTAATTACACAGTTTAGACGAAATACACGAGACGAATCTTTTAAACCTAATTAGACTATGATTGGACACTAATTGTCAAATAACAACGAAAATTGCTACAGTGTCATTTTGTCAAAAATTTTGTCATCTAAACAAGGCCCAAGTGCACGACCAAATACATAACAAGTTCACAACTAACAAGTGCATGATCTAGTTCAAGTGTATAGCATTAAACAAGTGTATGACCAAATACATAATAAGAGAGAGATGAGGTGGTGGTATTTGTCTATAAGAGAGAGGCGATTAGCCACCAAGAAAAAAAAACCTTGACAGCGTGGTGAAAGCAGCTTGTAATTGGGGTGTATGACTGACTGTCTCATTAATAAAATTCGGTTTAAAACGAATTTTGAATTCGGAATATTTCAAATTAAAAGTAGAAAAGTAGAAAACGGTCGAAAAATGTGTAAACCGTTTTCTACTTTTACATTTGAAATACGAAACATCTCAAATGCGAAAGCAAAACGGTAAAATCGGACAAGAAATTACGAATTCAATCGGATTAAATATAGAAAACGATGCGATTCGGTTCAGAATATTTTCGTTCCGTTTTCATCCTTACACGCAGCGCCATGCCCATGCCACCAAGTGCGGAGGACGAGGCAGGCAGGCAGGCAAACCCATGCATCGCACTGCACAGTGCACAGTGCCTGAGGAAAAACCCAAGAAACCTGCATGCACGAAGCTCAAGCCGGGCGTGTCCCATCCCATCCCATCCCATCGCGCATCATCCCGTACAGTGCTGGCGAAAGGTGCGTGTGCTGTTCCCCCTTTCCCCATCAGGTCTCCCTCCATCCGTTCACTCCCAACCACATCAGCCTCACTCCACTCGGCTCTCACGCACGCACTGCACCAGATTCGCCTCTGTTCCTGCTCTCAGTCTCATGATGCATGCCCTGCCGTTCGGTTTCCGTTGGCCACAAAAATCGGCACAAAACCTTTACTAGCGATTTCCTCCGGGCCAGGTTTGCCCAGCTCGTTGAAAAGCCAAATGAAAAGTATAGTTGCTGATTGGTTTTGAGAGCAAAATATTATATCATTGCTGATAAACTAGATTGATACGTTCGAACGAACATGAAAGCACGTATCTATACCGCTTCTGTACGTTTTACGGCTCCAAGGCACAAAATAAACTGTGAAGAGGAAGAGTCGGTGCAGCAACAATTTCTAGCTTGCTACAGTAATAAACAGTGCTGACACCGGAATTGGGAAGACCCATGTTAACCGGCCCCTTAATGTGACGAGAGAACTAGCTCCTTCACATTGTGACGCAGACTTGAGGAAGGAGGTTCTCCCATCTATGAAACCGGGCTCCAATAAAAGAAATCATGCTCTCTCTCTCACCGTCTCTTTTCTTTCACGTAGTTGACGCTCCAGCCGTTGAGAGGAAGTTGGAGAAGCTACATGAGGTGTCAGGGGCAATGAGGACTTCGCCCTCATGTTCTGTCGTGTGCGCCGGTGGCACATGCCGCCCCCAACAAATCCATCCATATGCTGCCTCAATTGAGACGGGTGCGGTGCTCCTCACCAGATCCGACATCGGACGACATCGCGGACAGGGAGAAAGGGTAGGAGGAGGGGCGGTGGCGGGTTCAGGGTGCGGCGATAGCTCCATTAGATTAGGCGAGGAGGAAGTTGAAGGAGGGAGGACAAGGCACCAGGAAGGAGGGAGCGAATGAGGGCACCCAACCGCGCGAGGAGGGAGGTGGCAGAGAGGTCCGTGCGGTGAGGTGTTGTGAAAACGACGAGAGACGAGTGGTGGGAGATGGGGGAGAAGAGGTGGTTGAGCGAATTATGCATTTTTTTAAAATATAGTCAAGGTATGGTTCTTTACTTTGTGGCAAATTTTGATCATTTTAACAGGTAAATACACATCACTACATAGGAACGGGGGTAGTTTTATACATTGGAGTTGCCTTTAGCAAATTTATCAAGGTACTAAGGGCAACTCCAACCAAACCCTAAAATTTTGCCCCCCCCCTATTCCTTCAAATCAGAGTCCCTCGTCCATATTTCATTCCCTACTCCTCAGCGCACTCCAACTGGTCTCCTAATTTTTTTCCTACTTTACATTGTATTGTCATGGGCCCGTTTATCAGTCCCACTTGTTAGCTTTAAGAGAAGAGAGAAATGAGAGTCCCTCATCCATCGAGGCTTAAATAGGGGCTCAGTTGGAGAGCTTTTTCACGAGTTTGAGCTCTCCAAATAGGATGAGATCTCAAGTAGGAGTTTGGTTGGAGTTGCCCTAAGGCCCTGTTTAGTAGCAATTGCGGAGACGCTCTAGGAGCGATTCCACGGTTTTGCCTACCAAACGGGGTAGGAAGCATTGGCTCCGCTCCGCTCCTTCCTTGAATCTCTTCGGAGTAGAAAAATTGTCAGAGGAAGCCAAAAAATGGCTTCATCCCACTCCTCCATCTGGTGCGAGCCTCTCCCTGGACTACCCTTCATTCGAGCGTTCGAGGCGCAGTGGGTGAGGCAAAGTCGTGCACGGAGTCAAGAGGCAGGGCGAAGTTGCGTCAGACCGAAGCATCGGGGCCAGAGTCTCGATGGGTGATGGCGGACCGCACCATTGGGGCAAGGTCGAAGTCTCGACGAGTGGGGTGGTGGCACGAGTGGAGAGGGGAGTAGAGTAGCGTCAATCCGGGCGGAGTCGAAGAGAGTGGGTGTGGCAGCATTGGATTCAGAGAAACCGAGGATGAGCGGACGAAGAAGACAAGGGGAAATACAGAAATAGGGAGAGAAATGAAATAAGTAAAGGAAGATAAAAGAAAAAAAATATTAGCCCTATTCGTTAGTCTAAAACCATTATGAATATTTCACTATTTTTATCTACCAAAACTGCTGCCTCTAGAAGGAGAGCTGCGCCAAACACGTCCTAAATCTGATCAAACAGAAGTGTAGAACCCCTTCCGCCTAGTAGCAGTAAGTAAATAACTTAGGATAAATAAACCGAGGTAAATATGATTGGTAATTACTTCTCCATTTATCTGTCTGCTACCTTCTGCTGTCCTACAAGGGAGTGCCGCATGCCTGTATCCACACAGCCCGAAAGAGTGGGGGGGGGGGGGTCTTTGGAGGTTCTCTCTTCTCTGCACTGCACCCGTGAGTGCTCTGCTCTCTGGTCCCAGCAGAGCAAGCAGTACCCCGCTCTCACCTCATCACTTTTTCCTCCTGCTATGTCTGTCTGCCTTTTGTCCACTCCTCTAGGAGAGTACAGTACCCTTCATTTCTTTTGGATGTCTGTACGCAGCCACGTCACTTCACTACAACTGGCTGCCAGTAGAGTTTACACCATCTACTACGGTTTTTAATTACCAGTATAATCATAACAGTGAGATCCATACAAACGAGCATACGACGAGATGGACCTTTCATCATCTTCTTGATACCGGTAGGAGCTACTAAACGACTAGTTCTACTATTATTTATGACTAGTACTTACTTAACTATCATATACTTATTATAGGCCTAGAGCTAAAACAACCTAGACTACTTGTTTCTTCTGTTGCTGTTGCTGTTCCCTCCACTCTGAAGATACACCTCCAAAGTATTTGTTAAAGCTTTTCTACGCTTTTCTACGCTTGCTTGATGGGGCCATCATAATAGTTCCCTGCACACAACCCATGAATGAATAGACTGTATCATCATGATTGAGTAGCTGATTGTTACAGCACTCTCAACTGGAGGTGTTTACCCTGTTCACTTGATCGTATCAGCCATATCAGCCATGCTTATCAGCCATGATACAGTGTTTTTCTCTCACAATAAAACAGCATCAGCCGGCTTATAAGCCACAGAAACGATCGAGCGAACAGGGTGAAAAAGAGCTGTTGATACTTACTCCCAGATTAGAGGAAAGGAGACCCCCCCTTTTTGCTCTCTATTCACAGCCCAATGGCTTCATGCCCAGGAGAAAACCTGAAGAAGAAACAGAGGTAAAACAATCTTTCTTTCCTTACCACATGCATTGCAATAAGAAAACATCATGTTGTAACTTCTTGTAGACAATTAAGTAGTAACACCATGTGTATATATAAAATCCAATCCTTTTCAGCTGTACCCATGAGGCGAGCCCCATATGTACATAGCACCTCTATTACACATTTATAACTACTACCAATGTACTAGCACTAACAGAGGTTTGCCCTACCTAATCTTTAGTTCTAGACTCCCGATGTAGCACTAATTGGACCACAACAAAATACTTAAGGCACACAAGCCAAGACTACTACTACACACACCAATGAACAATGGTATATACAAATGATCATGGTTTTCTGAGAATGAAAGATTTAAATTTCTGAGAATGTTTACCTGGGCACCTGAAAAAAGCAGTTGTATGGGGGCAGCTCAAGGGTGGATGCAGCTGGGAAAAGGGACGAAGCCACATGATGAGGGCTGCTGTTGCTGATGCTACCATTCTGAGCAGTTGCAGTAGTAATAGTATCAATGGAGGCCTTGGTGGGGTATGCAAAGGGGCTGTCAGGCAAAATGTGCTCCACCACGCCACTACAATTCAAACGAGCAAGAAACATATCAATCCTGGATGGAAAAGATCAAGACCAAACCCAAAAGAAAAGGGGACAACTTGCACCAAGATACTGCTTAACAATAGCCATTAGTTTGTGGTCGTAAGTATCTTTTCTCCTTTCCCCTACACCCTTTGACAGTGCATTTCTTTTCCCCTTTTGTTACTTTCAATCAAGACCACCTATGATCAGCGCAGCCTACACACCCCACCTCCTTTTACAATTGCTTTCAGAGGCATATTAGCTCCATGCCAGAGAATAAACAGAGCACATAGACAAAAGGCATGCTTGATTCCTATCACAGATTGGCACACCTCTTTTTGTCAAACTATATAACCTTGCATAACAGCATAAGGTAAAGCAGCAATTTGTTCTATACTCCTACCATGCAGTTTTTTTTAGTCCAGGTGTGGCAAAAGTGTAGCAGAAGCATTCATCTAAAGCAAGAAACAGAAACCGTGCCCTTGCTAAGAAAACTATGGCTTGCCTATCGATATGTTTATCAGCCACAAACATGCCCAAAGAAACTCTGCTTTGTTCCATGCTGCCTTTTTTTCCCATCCATTTCCCCAAAAAGAAAGAAATAGCCTGTGACCTTAGTTGTGCCCATTTAAATATTTTACTCCACAACAACAATCTTACCTTTCCTGGAATCCACAAGCAGCATTGGGTGTAGCTGTCACAGGACCAGATTGGGGCTGCCTGCTTGGGTTGACTGCCTGCTTGGGGCTGCCATATCCACCCTCTTCCTGCTGCTCCTCGTGCTTGCCTTCTGCATCAGTTGCAGAGGCAGCAGCAGGAGCACTCATTGCAAGGCTACTAGTACTGCTCATCTTCTTATCTACAGTCAAGAAAGCATGGATTCAGAACTCACAACCCTGCCAACACCTCACAAATGCTGCAATGCAAGAGGCGAGAACTTGTCAGGGTCAAGGAGTGGACCTTGGATGCCGGTGACATCCTCCAAATGGGCGGCATTGCCATTCCCGTTGTTGCCGCTGCATTTGCCATCAGCTTGCCCCAGAGACATGGGCGAGCCTGAACCAACGGGGGAGCCGAGCCCGAGATGGTGACCCCTGCTCTTGAGGTCAAGGAGCTGCAGCCCCATGAAGCGGCGCCCCTCCAGCTCAATGGCTTGCTGCAGCTCGGCCGCCTGCTGCTCCTCCTCGAGCTTCCTCCTCAGGAACGCCTCATGGTTAGCCATGTTCCCGTACATCATCCTTGGTCCTAAACAACACAAAAACCAGCATGTTAAATAAAGCAACTGCAATTATCTGCAACAACAGAATGCAATGCTGCAAGACAAGAACACATGCAGGCAGTGCAGGTGCAGGTATCAGTTACTACTCGGGTATATCAGTTAGTACAACCTCTGTCCCTCAAAGATGCAACGTGTGCGCTTGAAGTACTTCACATGACCAAGTTTTCCGTAAATAGTTTTCATATTTATAACTCAAAATTAATTTATTATAAAGATACATTTCGTAATTAATTTAATAATATTTATTTTATATTACAAATATTTATACTTTTTTATATATAATTGATTAAACTTGATATATAAAACATTTTGCATTCTTTTACGGAGGAAGGGAGTACTGCTCACCGATCTGGGGCTGCTGGAGATCGTAGGGGTCCCTGGAATCCAGCAATCCGGTGGGCGACGTGCAACCGGCGAACTCGGCGCCATGGTGCGCGTGCTGCAGCTTCCTGCAACCAAACAAAACGATAAATAAAGCGAGGAACCGAACAAAAGCTGTTGAAGTTGAAACAAACAAGCAACCTGCGTGCAGTGCAATGTGAAGAGAAGGATGGATGAGGATGAGATGCAGCGCAGGCAAGGCAAGGGAGAAGGGACGGACCTGAACCTGTCGGGGACCTTGCCCTTCTCCTTGTAGGGCTTGACGAGCACGCGCGCGTCGCACACGAAATGCGGGTTGCCCTTGCTGAGGATGACCTTCACCGTCTCGGCGTAGACGAAGGTGACGAAGCCGAACATGCGCTTCTGCTGGTACGGGATGCGCACGTCCTGCACCGGCCCGAACATGCTGCTCGATCCATGGCAACCAGGACGATCAGTCGGTTTCGCTCGCCCATTATTGGACTGCAAGAGCCTGGAGATACCGAGGTAGTGGAAACGAAACAGAAGAGAGCGGAGCAGAGGACAATAATGGCGGCCTGCTGTGCTGGGTACCTGAAGTAGTTGGACACGTCTTCCTCGCTGAAGGTGGAGTCGGCCGGGAAGGTGAGGTAGATCTGCCGCGCGGCGGGGCTGGCGATGAGGTCGCCGCGGTCCATGCGGGGGGAGCGCACCGGGAACCTGTGCATGTCCTCGCCGCCGAGCACCATGCCCGCCGCCGCCGCCGCCCTGGAGCAGCAAACACGCAGAAAATAAAATGGGCATGAGACCGGAAACAAAATGCAACCTTTGTGGCGCGGCGCGGCGGGGTAAATGGCACCTTTGGGTCTCGCTATGCTGCTGATGTTGCTGGAGCAGGAAGCTGAGGCTGACGCCTCCTTTGGGCGACGGCGAGAAGGGGTACGCGGACGCCATGAGCTGCGGCGGCGGCGCGGCGGCCAGGGCCTTGGCGCGCATGACGGCCATCTCCCGCTCCGCGGCGTCGTCCTCGGGCACGCGCGTGGAGGAAGTGGTAGGAGGAGCCATTCTTGCAGTATCCACGCGTGTAGTACATGCAGGGCCTCCACGACACGGCCGCCTCGGCGTCGTTGAGCGAGAAGCTCCGGTGGTGGGGGCCGGCGTCGCCCACAGGGGATTAGACGTCATAGTCGTCGGCGTAGAACGCGTCGACGCCGCCGTCGTACCCGAGCTGGTCGGCGGCGAAGGGCGATTGGTGGTGCTGGTGGTGGCCGACGCCGGGGCTCGGGAGGCCCCAGGGCGGGCCGGTCTGCAGCGGGCCGAGCACGGGCGACGGCGGGGACGCGGGCTTGCCGGCGAGCTCGGCGCGCGCGGTGGCGACGAAGGCGTGGAGCAGGTGCTCCGGGCCGAAGGCGAGGCGGATGAGCTCCTTGTCGCTGTTGTCCTGGATGAGCAGCAGGCCCATCATCTTGGAGGCGTTCTCCGGGTCCAGCGCCTGCACCCGGTCGAACACCACCTTGGTGGCCTCCCAGGCGTCCATGGCGTGCGTGGATCGCAGGACGGGAGCGGAGCGGTCCGCTCTTATCAGGTGGGGGTCTGCTGCTCTCAAGGGGCAGCGGAGGAAGGAAGGGGAGGGGAGGTGAAAAGCGGCGGTGCTAGAGAGAGAGGGAGGGGGAGGAGCGGGGTGTGGGGGCACGCCTGTAAAAAAGCTCTGCACGGCAGCACAGTGAATTAAATAGGCTGCTGGCTGGGGTTTGGGTTGTAGGCGAGTTGGACTGTTGGAGACGATGCAGACGAAAAGTGGGCTCTCTCTCCTTCAGTTTCCCTCCAACGTTTGGGGGGTGGGGGTGGGGGGGGTGGTGGGTGGGGTTAGTTCACGAAATGAAAATTTTTTAACGTCACGTCGAATGTTTCGGAGATGTCGAAAGGAATTTTTGATACTAATAAAAAAATTAATTATATAGCTAGTCTGAAAACTGCAAGACAAATTTATTAAGCCTAATTAATCTATCATTAGCGCATGTTAGTTACTGTAGCACTTATGGCTAATCATGGACTAATTAGTCTTAAAGCATTTGTCTCGCGATTTCCAACCAAACTATGTAATTAATTTTTTTTTTTTATATTTAATATTCCATACATGTGTCACAAGATTCGATGTGATATTTTAGGGTGAAAATTTTTAAAATTAAACTAGGCCTGGTGGCGCTTATTTTTGCTTTTGCTTTGCTTGCGTGACAAGGAGTCAATCAAGAACCAAAAGGCCAAGAGAGACACCTTGGTTTCAAACTTGGATTGAGTGATCATGGTGCGTTCAAATTTACTCGAGGTGTTAAAAGTTGGACATAGAGTACCAAGTTTTGGTTTGAGCGATTTTTGTATTATCGAGTTTTGGTAATGTAGATTGTAAGGCCATGTTCGCTTAAGCTTATCACCAAAATTGGCCTTTATTTTTCAGCTATAGAAATAATATTTTTCTCTCACAACAAATCAGTCATGGGAGCAATAAATTCTGCTGAACAGGGCCTAACCTAGCAGGAGTAGTATTGCTTACACAAAACACTCCGCGACGGAAAAACCGAGATGTGGCTCTATAGATTGAAATCGGCGGGGTGTGGTTTTGCCTGGCAGACGTAATTGCTCGGCGTTACCTGTCAATTTGGCGTATACAGCTTGAAATCGGCAACGAAAAAAAAACCGAGATGTGGTTCTACATATTGTAAAATACTGTGTATTAGTAGTAGTATTGTTTGACCCAACCTAGAACACTTCATCCGTGCTAAGAGCTGGAAATTTAAATCGGCCACAAAATAGCGAGCTGTGCAGCCTGTTGGGTTGGCTGGTTCGTATTGTTGCTGGTTCATGAAGAAGTACTACTGGCTGGTTTATGTGAGAGAAAAATACTGTTCTGACTAAAAATTTACGATCATTTACGACAAGCCACAGCCAAACGAACAGGCCGGTGGTTGCCTGACTCCCTATAGATTTGGCATATACGACTTGAATTTGACTAGTCTCCCGCTTTTCGTGCATTGTCATTACTGCAAGCTGGCATGTATGGCTTGGGTCTTGTTTAGATTGCAAATTTTTATAATCTGGACACTATAGCACGTTTTGTTTGTATTCGATAAACTTTGTTCGATCATGGACTAACTAGGTTCAAAAGATTCGTCTCGTGATTTACAACCAAATTGTGTAATTAGTTATTTTTTTTACCTACATTTAATGCTCCATGCATGCGTCTAAAAATTGATGTGATGGAAAGAGAGTGAAAAAACTTGAAATTTTGAGGTAATCTAAACCAGGCCTTGGCTCTGAGCAATCTATAACTATTTTTCCGTAGGAGTAGAAATGGCATCCCGAGAAAAAGTGCAATAAATTAGAGAGTTGGCGAGGATTTCGTTGCAAAATGGGATCCGAGGTATGTGAAATATAGGTGGCTACGCCTCGTGATGTTAGGTGGTATTAGTACTCGCCTCATAATGTGAATAAAGACATTAGTGATTACCAATTCTCATATAATTGGGATCTGTATATGTAAGATTTTTGTGTATTGTTTTTCTTACCTCAACCATATGTTAAGTGGTAAACAACCATGGATCTACATAACCCAAAGTGTAAGGAGTTGGAGCCTTTTTCCATAGTTATATAATTTCCTTTGCCTAAAGTCATCCATAGGAAGATCTTGCCAAGCCTCACATCTTTTCCCCATGGAAAATACATGATAATATGCATATGGGCTTATAATCATGTGTAGCTTTTTAGTAGGAACTGCATGCTAACAAATACACTAAGAACTTATGCCACCTTCTTATATTCGACATCATGTTTACACTTATTTCGTGGTAGAGTGAGTTTAAACTAAGTAAACATTGCATGATTCACATTGTATGTGACCCATTATTAGAATATGGAATCCATTTTTCATGATTGAACGGTTGAATGTGAAAACATGCATGAGGCTACCACCTCATGGCTTACAACCATTTTCCTTATCCATAGGATCTATTTGCCAATGAACATGAGATGTTATGATGCCTCCTTTTGTTCAACAACATATTTACACATGTTTTTTGTACAGTGAATTTAAGTAACTGAAGCATGCTTTACATTATTTGCTAGGGGCTATTGCGTTCTTGCCCCTACTTTGACGTCCAATTGTGATTTTATCCCTGCTTTTGTCATCGTTGTGATTTTACCCCTGTTTTTTGAAAACGAAACTTAAGTTTACCCCTATTCCGTGAACAACAGGTAAATGTGTCAAATGGACTCAGTAAGGACAAGTTTACCCATGCGAAATTACCCCTACTTATCTGAATACATTGTGATTTTACCCCTATTTTTTAAAAAAAAAAATTGGCAGCACCATTGCACAACTCGTTACATATAATTCCACACATCATGCAAATATAGATATATAATATCACATCAAATAAAAGTGTAGCAAAAGTATCCATACAGCACAAGCCTCATCCAACATCTATGCCACCTGAGCCGCCGCCTCGTCGTCGTTGAAGACCTGGCTCGTGAGAAATTAAACGCATTGGATAGGATGTAAATGAACATGATTGGCCGTGATCGTGGCATCGAATGTTTCAATTTTGCTTAAATTACATGTGATGGCATTCGCATTCGCACCTCGGGCGCGGGGCGGCGGCAGATCTCGGAGCCTCTCAACGCCACTGCCTGCATTGCATTGCCGTGGACAGTGAACACGAGTTGGGAAGCAGGTGGTATGATCAGAAGCTTCAAATGCCAAATGGATGAAATTGTGCCATTTCGATCGCTTTATTTGGTGGTTGAACGAACTTTTCATGAAATAGTGTATGTGTTGTTGCATCTGCAGCAAGACTGGGCGATCAATGGGCAGATGAAGAGTTGGAGCAGAGGAGGTACCTGGAGCGCCTTGGAGAGGCTGTCGACCTCAGCGGCAAAGTGGAGCCTGGGCGAGGTGGTGATGAGCTCGAGCACGGCGAGGAAGGACCCCGTGGCGGGGTCAAGGATGGGCAGCGCGAGCACGGCCTGGATATCATAGATGAGCGCGTAGCTGATGCGTGCGTACTCACCGGTGCCATAGTACTGCACGTTGGGCGTCCACTCAGGCTCCCCGGCGTCGAACACCCACCCCGGCAGGCCCCGCTCCCCGGGCACGGCGCCGCCGCCGACGAGGAAGGCGTGCGTGAGCGACACCGTCCGGTACTGGAACAGGCGGTGGCACCGCGGCGGCGATAGCACAAACGGCTAGCCCCTGGTGGCCAGCACCGGCCGGTCCCTGTCCCGTGCCAGCGCCCACACCTGCACCAGCGCACCGCCTTCGCCGCCGTGCCCCGCTGCCGCATCCTTGTAGATCCTCAGCGCCCACGCGATCCGCTCCTTCATCGCGTCACCGACGGCGGCCTCCTTGTTGTCCTACGGCGGGCCGGCGCTCGCGCTCCCACCTGCACCTACATGCACAGACCCACCCACCAAAACAGCCGTGTGAGCAGTAGGCGATTCGGACGAAACAGCGGCCAGCGCTAATCGTCGCTGGAGCTATAGAGCACCGCTCCTCACATGGGCTGTCGCTGCTCCCCCGGGCGTTGCCGTCGCCGTGGCCGTCGAGGAGAAGGTCGACGTCGAAGCGCTGGAGCACCCCATCCATGTCGGTCTCCATCTCTGACACCATGTCCAGCATGAACGAGGCATGGCCGCTCAGGGCCACGCCCGTGCCCTCGTCGCGCGACGCAAGAAGCCGCACCGCACCCCATGTGGCCATGCCCACCATAGAGGATGGGGGATTAATGAGGGTACGAGTGGATAAGGGGTATTGTTGTCCTTTGGTCTTACTGTGAAGGGTTTTGTTGTTTTTTAATTTTTTTTATTCCAGATATAACTAACAGAGTTAAAAGTAAGGGTAAACTGAGCCTTAGTAGTTACAAAGCAGGGGTAAAATCACAACGATGACAAAAACGATGGTAAAATCACAATTGGACATCAAAGTAGGGGCAAGAACACAATATACCCTATTTGCTACCACTTTTTGAATTCCGAATTCATATATAGTGCTAAATGTGAAAAAAAGTTATGCTGCCACCCGCATCTACCATTACATACACAATGGCAGAGCACATGAATCTAACCCGCCATGTTGTTTATCGAGCGCCAGTATTCTTTAGACAACCATAGATGTTGCAATTAACTTGATAGTAAACAATTGTTGCTATCGATAAATATTTTTGAATGTTTTTGTCGGGTTCATAAACCCAGGGTCCCTCATGGACCGGCTTCCCAGCCAAAGCTCGGCCCAGCAGGCAACGTTGCGAGCGACATGTAACTCCTAGGCCGGCCCAAATACCTAACGATAGACCAGAAGGGCGATCCAATCTCCGACTAGAAGGCCTGGCCGAGGAGGAACGGCGCCCGCTTCTGACTCCGGTCCGCCTCTCTGACCAGAAGGCCTCGCTTCTGACCCCGGCCCGCCTCTCCGACCAGAAGGTCTGGCCGACAACGCTTCCGACTCTGACCTGCGTCTCCGACCGGGGATACACCAAACCTCTATTTATAGCTCTTCTCCGACTGGCACAGTCAGAGCCAACTGGGACCAACCGACTGGGGACACCCGCTCGGTGAGGACCAGGAAACGGCCAGAGCAAGGAAAACAGGACGCTCAAGTCAACCGCAATACCAAGTACCGTACCCTGTACACCTACAAGGACAGTACCGACAGGGCATGTCAGAAGGGTGCCCTACAACCTTCCAGGCATGTCAGAACCCAAGCAGTATTGTGGGCGCCGATGTTTCGCCCTATAGTGTTATGGGCGCTGTCGACAAAAGATGCTTGGCAGTCCGTCGAGGGGTATCCCGCGATGGAAGATTTGTCATAGAGGTGAGCGAGATCAGGAGCGAGATGGTAATACAAGCACCAAGACACAAGATTTAGATAGGTTCAGCCGTCTGATCGACGTAATACCCTACATCCTGTGTTCTGATGTATTGCATTGAGATGTAGCGATCTAGATGGATCTATCCACTAGGGCACCCATGCCTCTCTTTATATACTCTAGAGGGGCAGGGTTACAAGTAAAGTAGCCTATTTGGTACTATACAATATCTTGCGGTGCACGCCAAGTAGCGCCGTGCACGCCTTGATCTTGTGGGCTGGGCCACCCCTGATGGTGCGGCCCATGTCTTGTCTTGTGGGTACCGAGGGCCGTACCCCCACAGCTAGTCCCCGAGCCTGACAGTAGGTGACGTAGTCATGTGGTGCCAGGGTCAAAAAGTAGAAGACCAGCCGAGCAGGCAGCCAGTCCCCGGGCGTAGCCTCAAGATAAGAAAAGCGCACATTCACCGCAAGGTGAAGTGTGCCCACTTAGTCCTCGAGCTTGTTGGAAGATGAAGAATGAATCTTGTAGCAGGGTCAAAGAGAAAGAAGTCTAAAAGCTTACCGACGTCGTCTGACATGCGTGTATCAAGACTCCAGACGTGCTGCCCAAGATCAGCACCCTGATCCGAACAGCATGGAGCAGCTTGATAGCACACCGATGAGACGTAGCAAGATCCGAGCACCGAGGAGTCCCTGGCGTAGCTGGCGATGTCCGAGCACCGAGGAGTCCCCGGCGTAGCTGGCGATGTCCGATCACCGAGGAGTCCCCGGCGTCACTAGCGATGTCCAAGCACCGAAGAGCGAGGAGTCCCCGGCGTCGCTGGCGATGTTCGAACACCGAAGAGCGAGGAGTCCCTGGCGTCGCTGGCGATGTCCGAGCACCGAGGAGCGAGGAGTCCCCGGCGTCGCTGGCGATGTCCCAGTACCGAGGAGTCCCCGGCGTCGCTAGCGACGTCCGAGCACTGAGGAGCAAGGAGTCCCCAGCATCGCTGGTGATGTCCGAGCACCGAAGAGCGAGGAGTCGCCAGCATCGCTGGCGATGTCCGAACACCGAGGAGTCCCCGGCATCGCTGGCGATGTCCGAGTACCAAAGAGTGAGGAGTCCCCGGCGTCGCTGGCGATGTCCGAGCACCGAGGAGCGAGGAGTCCCCGGTGTCGCTGGCAATGTCCGAGCACCAAGGAGAGAGGAGTCTCTGGCGTCGCTGGTGATGTCTGAGTACCGAGGAGTCCTCGGCATCGCTGGCGATGTCCGAGCACCGAAGAGCGAGGAGTCCCTGGCGTAGCTGGGGATGTCCGAGCACCGAAGAGCGAGGAGTCCCCAGCGTCGCTGGAGATGTTCGAGCACCGAGGAGTCCTCAACGTAACTAGGGACGTCCGTGCGGTGAAGTGTGCCCACTTAGTCCTCGAGCACGAAGAATCCGAGCGTCGAGGAGTAATCGGTGTAGCTGGCGATGAAGCACGAGCGACAAACAGTCTGGTCAACTGGTCGGCGGTGAAGTGAGCATTGAGTAGAAGCGACCGGCGAACAGTCCGATCAACTGGTCGGCGACGGAGTCCATGAACCAAGCAGTCCGACCAGTTGATCGGTGGAGAAGTCCGAGCACCAGGGGGTCCGATCACCTGGACGATGATCCTCCAATACAAATATGTAGAACAGGTAGTACATGATGTAAAAATATATGAACTCCGGAGAAAAAAATAGCGTATGTAGCTCGGCGATCAGTTGGAGCGAAGATGTATTTATATTTAATATAAACCACCTGACCAGTTAGTGTGTAGCTGAGTCTCCAGCCCTAGCTAGCCCATAGTCCATAACGTCGAGCGCGGAGCCCGTGCACGTGTAGGAGGAACAGGCGCCGCTAAGGAGCCGCTGCCGATTACCCATAACACAGAAGGCAGACACTCGTGCACGTGTAGGGAGGAGCCAGAGATAGGGCTGTCTCTGGAGGCGTCCAAGCATCAACGTGATTGTTCAGGGATTTGGAAAATTGTTTGGAGAGCAAACATGGAGAAAATAGCTTAGAGAAACATTATGGCGATATACGGAGATTGGAGAATATTTAGAAGAATATTAAAGCATGACTGAGCTTTAGACAGAAAGTCTGGTCGGTGACGTATGGCGTTATCTGGTCGGCGTTGATGGCGAGCTCCCGGCGGGCGGTGAGTTGTTGGTGAAGGTGACCTCGGAGGTGGTTTTGAGATCGGATCTACTATCGCGGGGGCTGGTGTAGCCAGCGATGAATCATCGTCGTCGTGGACCAGCATGGATCTCCACAAGATTGATGACGAGAACGCGCTGTTGATTTGAGGTCCATCTGGCTCGCCATGGATCAAGCGCACATACACTCTCCCTCTTTCACTTGTAAGGCCGTCCCCTTGATCTTTAAAAGGGGACGCGCTCTCTCCCAACAAGGACGATCGATCAGTCCACAACAACTCGAACAACACACATGATCCGAACGACCAAGGATCCCAATGAACAACAAACATTCGAACACTTAGCACACAACAGAGCTCCCATCACTCTTGGCCCTTCAGACCAGAGTCCGATCAGACCTCTTGCACCCCCATCTTTCTCCCTTCCGTTTGTAACCCCACAGCAAACTTCGAGCACATGAGCTTAGGAATAAAGTCACCGACCGACTCAAACTGGACGTAGGGCACGTTGCATGAACTAGTACAAACCCTGTGTCATTGAGTGATAGGCCACATCCGATCACAATGTGCGGCAAAACTACAATATTTACGTGTTGGTCACTTTCTGCACCGACAGTTGGCGCCGTCCGTCGAGAAGACACCGTACGTTCACACTTTTGGTCATCGGATGGCCTACCTTTCCACCATCTTCGCCATGGCGGGCTCAAGCAATACGACTCGCTTTGGCTCACTGGAGTTTCCCGCACTCCCACCTATTGGGATGTGGGTTCCACCCATCTTCGAGCCATCCTAGGCCTTCCTCTTCGGAAGCCTAGACTTCGTCGCTGATCGGCTCGGTGTGCTACACCTCCGCAAGGAGGCAGTTGTTCCGGTGACGTCGGAAGAGGTGCGTCCTCCATCGGCTCTGGGACACCCGATGACTTCAATGGAGAGGCGCCTACGCTTCATTCCGAGCATACGCTCCGCTCAAACCCCACTTTGAGTAATGTATGCTTTGTTATTTACTTGCTATTTATTGTCTTTCACCGATTCTTCGGAGGGACCCCATTGTCCCTGTTGCGACCGCCATGCAACCAGTTCCCCAACGGCCTTGCGTCCCCCATAGACGCGTACACCGGGGGGCTCTGAAGGATGCTAGCGCCGCCTCCTCTCACATCTGAATTCATGGGGATGGCGAGCTACGCTCCCACCTCTTTTCATGACCTCTTGGATGACAATGTTGAGAGCGACGGCTCTAGCATCGGCGATGTCGTGGCACCCAGTCACCCTCTGTCTCAGGAGGGCGCTATGGCGGACGCCCCGAGATAGCCGCCGATGGTAGTGGAGTCTCTTCAGACCCACAACCCTCTAGACCCTCGCACGGATGCCCTCACATGTGCCCAGGCGCATGGTGAGGAGCTACGACAAAGGCGGCAGAACCAGCTGCCACCTGCGCCAGCACACTCGGCGTACCACGATGCGCCCCGTGCTTGTAACCCGACAAGAAGTGCCCGGGGTCACGCCCGCTAGGTCCAGCGCAACATCATGGACGGGGGGAATGATCCCCCACAGTTCGCTCAGGCTGGCCAAAACATCACCGCGGCCACAATGCTTCTGCGTGGCCTTCCCGAGCCGAACAACCCCCAGGAACAGGCGATCCACCGGAACCTCCGGGCACTGGTGGAAACCGTTGTCGTTCAACAGGCGAAGAGCTCCGCATCGCGACACTGACTCGCGGCCTCTCTCCCCACCAGGGG